TTTTTTTTTTTTTTTTTTTTTTTTTTTGAATATGTGACTAATTGTGATACTTACGCATCCAATCAGTGAAATCTAAAACCCTAACTTAAATATTGATCAATGACAGTGATTGAACCATGACATAATCCATTTAGAAAAAAAAAAATGAATCAGACTCGCAGTAGTTGCCTCCATTAGAACAAAAAGAACAGATTCAGGAAATAATGTGTTTTTACTTCTTTTTTGGTGAGAAAGAAGATACCATCTACGCGATACTACAGATAGCATATTCTTTGATCTTTTTAAGAAACAAATCCCGTAGCTAGCATGCAGCATGGATATTGATGTCCAAATAAGTAAACTATTGAGCAATGAATAGAGTAAATAATGCCAAAGAAGTCAATATGATACGGAGTATAAAAATAAGTCGATCTTAGGACTTACCGTCAAGGCAAGAAGTTGGACTTTTGCGTTCTTGCTTCCAAGGCGTTTCTTTATACCTTTAACCACATCTTTCGCTTGCCTGAAAATTTGTGAAATGGTGAACTCCAACCCTAAAGGTTAGGAAAAAGAAACAATAAATCGAATCCAACATCCAACAGAATAAAGGAAGACTCATCAATGAATCAAATTAAACGAAAACCTAATTGAAAATCCTCAACCTCAACAAGCAGAAAAATAAGCTCAAAGTACTCATTCACTTATCGGGATGCATATCAGTCGCTGAGTCGCAAGTTATGATACACATTTGAATGCAAAAAAGAACACAGGCAAGAAACCAGTTTCCATTTGGCTTGTCTTGAATCTTCAGTTGGTAAGTATAACAAATTCAAAATCTCAATTCTTTTTGCGCCCAACAAATTCTCAGCAACAAAACACAAAAATTATTGTACCGAAATTCAAACAAATCTTCCGCTCAATCATGTAAAATAGCTCAAAACAAGAACATCAGACTAAAAGAATTACGACAAAAGCAATGATTGAAGACGAAAAACAATCAACCAGACAAATCGGGTGCAATGCGTACCCAGGGTCATGGTTCAGCATATCACAGATCTCGATGTTCATGGCCCAATCTGGACCAATCAACATATCGCTCGTAGCACGCGCAACCACGGAATTCACCATCTCTCTTCAGCACAAACAACACCGCCCGATCGGAAGAAAAAAGTCCTATTCCGACAACCGTACAAACTTCCACCGGCGACGGCAAATTATTTCCCGGATAAATAGCTTAATATTCCGTCGACTCTCTCCCTCGAAATCGCTCTCCCGCCCCGAGATCGCCAGTAACCCCCCTTTCCCTCGACGAACAATACTTTCCCCTTTTCTTTTCCTTTTTTTTATTTTAATTTTTTGCTCGACGCATTTTGGTTTGCTTTCGAATAGGCATTAGATGGAACTTAATGGAAGGCCACTGAAACATCGCCACGTGTAAAACAACGATCCACTTTCGTTATGGAGTACTGAGGTGGATGACTTTTGTTCCGTCGGCTCGACCGACCTTTTTTCCATCAAGCGGTTCCGGTTCATTGTTTCGCGGGTCTTTTTCCCATCCAGCGGTTCCGGTTCTTTTTCCAGCACCGGCTTTTGGCTGGGAAATTATCCACTGCGACGCGCGACTATGATCTGTCCAATCATTGCTCGATGCTTTTAAGTGTCCGGATTCGACGGTGTGGATTAAATTTAGTTATTGTTTATAATATATATTTTTTTTTCCTTCGAATTACATTTTTTTTCGCACTAAAAATGAGAGGATAGGCCGTGAATATATTTTTCAACGTTGAAAAGGGCGCCAAAAGAAAGCGAAAGCGCGTAAAAAAAATAAAACAATAATTAAAAAATAAAATCACACACAAGAAAAAGGGAAGTATAAAAGGCGTGTTGTGTTCTAAGCTTAGATAAACCAACGTTTTCAAGCAGTCTAGCGTCTTGGTTATCGAAGAATGGAGAGAGTATTCGGAACGCATAGGAGGAAACCGGCGGATCTGCAATGGATGTTTTCATAAGACATTTTTCTCTCTTCTCGATGCAAATTTCTGGAGTTTTTGCAGCATCGAACTCCGTTTTCCTTGTTCGGACGTTATCCGTGCGAGTTTTCAAGCAGTCTGCGTCTTGGTTATCGAAGAATGGAGAGTATTCAGAACGCATTGGAGGAAACCGGCGGATCTGCAATGGATGTTTTCACAAGATGTTTTTCTCTACTCTCGATGCAAATTTCTGGAGTTTTTGCAGCATCGGACTCCGTTTTCCTTGTTCGTACGATATCCGTGCGAGTTTTCATCTTCGTGATGCAGGTATACATTATTTCGCCGTCTCTAGTTACGAAATTGTGTTTACTGTGCTCGATTGTGAAGAAACTTCTGGAATAGGAGTTTTGATTCCTTGTTTTTTTTTTTTTTTTCTTCTTGTTACCTGAATCTGCATCCTTCGCGTTTTTGTTTTTCCTGTTGATTATTGCTCTGTTTTCGATTTACGGCTCCAAGTTAGTGTTAACCGAAAAACATGAATCATGTGGATCTCTTGTTGCTTAAAACTGATGAAAGAAGGTTGCGATTATCTTCTTTTAATATTCTACTAAATTTTTTAGAGCGTGATTCTTATCGGATTGATTTCGCTGTTCTTCTCTCCGCCAGTTCAAGCGGATCCTAAAGTTTGCCTCGCAGGAAAACAACAATAATAGGAAGAAAAACCGAAATGTTTTTCACTGTATATTTTAGGTGGATGCTCTCGATAAGAGTATCGTATCTTCAATCTTTCACAGCTTCGATAATCTGATATAGGAGAACATGCAAAATGTCAGTATTTATAAGTTCCATCATCTTTTGTTCTGAATTTCTGATAGAGATTGGTCAGTGTCGATAGCATTTGGCAGTATATATCTTCAATCTTTCACAGCTTCAATAATCTGATATAGAAGAGCATGCGAAATGTCAGTATTTCTAAATTCCATCATCTTTTGTTCTGAATTACTGATAAAGATTGGTCAGTGTCGATAGCATTAATATTTAGGAAATTGCCACATGCAGGTATCAAAGAGTACTCCTGAGATGTTTGAATTATTTTATATTTCTACAGCTCTTTTGATTTTCTATCGAATTCACATTTCTATAATTTTATACGATTTTCTTTCAACTAATTCGTTGTTTGTAGTCCAGCTGATAGGTTCTTATTTTAACCAGTGACCATCTTATATGATAGATCTCATTGAGTGGATCCAATTGACCTCAATTTTGGAGGTATTCTGTTACCTCTTGCAAGAAGGTAAGCTTGATAAACTTGATGGTTTAGTTACGTTTGTATATTGTAAGTCTATTTTCAATAAATTTGTTTCCATAACAAATGTTATAACAAATATTGAGTGCTAAATGCCACAGGCAGCATCAAGCACTCAATATTTCAGCATCAAGCACTCAAAGTTTAAAAAATTAAATTTATCTTATTTTTTTTAATTCTTCTCTTTTTAATGTATATTTTTCCTTTGTCTCATGTATCTATAAATTTTAAGAAATATTGAATAGACAATGGACTAGTTAGATTAAAAAAAAAATGGAAAAATCTATTAAACCGTTGAAATTTTTAGGACTCATTAAATGAAAAATTGATAGTCTAGTGGCCTCTTTGAGCACAACTCTAAAACTTGGCTTATTGGTTTAACTGGATCAGAGAGCACCCAATGACTGCTATTTATGGAGGAAGAAGAAGCTGACTTCACAAGAGCACCAATAAGGGAAGGAATCTGATGCTGCAAGTAATGAAGCTGAAACAGAGTTATTGCAGTAATTGTCGCCACAGTCGCCATACAAGGTAAGAGACTAAAATCCGGCTTAAATCACATTTTTAAACTAAAGCATGATCATTAAAATATATTATTGATCATTAAAATATATTAAGAACTAACGAATTAAACCATGATCATTAAAATATATTAAGAACTAACGATATGATGTGCAACCAAAATACAACATTAGTTACTCGAGAATAACATCTCTTGGAAGAATAATATCTCTTGGAAGCAAGATTTTTTTAGTAGAATTTAAAATGTACTCCAGTAGTTTTCAACCAAAATGAGTCGTGATATATCAATTAGCTTATCTTATAATTGAATGTTTTGAAAAAGAAAGAAAGAATTTGGATAAAACCAAAGTTCAAAACTAATACAACTTTGGAGGAGATTGTTAGGGGTTTTTTTTTTCTGCAATTTATACCTAAATATTAAGGTGGTATCACAAAACTCTAAACTAAGTAATTATATTAATTTAACTCTAAATTTTCATTGGTGTGTCAATTTAAACTATTTTTTAGATTTTGTTTAGAAAATGTTAGTTTATGTGTGTAAACTTATATTTTATCAACTCAACTCTTAAACTCGGGTAAGTGAATCAATTTAAAAATTGTTTATGTATTAATTTTTATAAATCTATTTCAAAATCTTTAATTGATTGGAATAAATAGTCTAAATTGATTCATTTACAAAAATTTAAGAGTTTGATTGATATAATTACAAGTTACATATATGTAAACTAACTACATTTCAAATGGTGCAAATTGATACATTAGTAAGAATTTTAGCTATTTAATTTTTGTTTATCAAATATCCTAATCTTCTTGAGGTTAACATTGAAAGATCATTTTTTTTTTTTTTTTTTGAGAGTTGAGTAATGATTTCTTTTAGATCCTTCTAATTTGAAATTCATGAAATTCATGTTACAGCCTAAAAATGAAGCCTTCTCCATTGCTTTAGGAGGGTAAAATTTTTTACTCATTTGCTGAATAATTAGTGAACACATCTTTTTATCTATTGAATAAAGAATAGAATACATTAGGTACGACAAGCGTAACGCCCTTCCCCATATGTTTTTCTTTTCTTTTCTTTTTCCCGAAAAGGAAGCAATTTAAAAGGATATATTGAACAAATCATAAACATACATTTTACGAAATATAATTAACCTGAGATTAAGGAGACTGATTTCTAACTTTTTTAACACTTTCAAATACACTATCTGCAGCCTTTCAACAGGTAAGACGAGGGACTTGAGAAGCTTCTCCCAGTTGCACTTGCACTAGACGATTTTCCGTTTTCAGTTCCCTTGACAGGTGTCCCACATTCACTGAAGTCAAGTATCCGTCGCTCTTTCTACAAAAAATAAATAAACAACGAAAATATAAATAAATAAAGTTGTGAATTTACGTTTTTCTAGGTAGAAATGCTTCTGTTTTTAAATCAAGATAACCATTTTGTTTTCTAAAATTATATTTATAATCAATCTTCTGCCAATATTCTTTAAAAACTACAGAATGACTAAAATTCAAATTCTATATCTAAAGAAATATGAAAACTATGATTGAGAATTTACTTATGAATTTCTTTTGTTGTTTTGTTATGTAATTTTTACCATTTTTTTAAAAAGAAAAGTCAAATTTTGAAAACTAAAAAAAAGTAATACTTTGTTAATAGATTTTCAAACTTAGTTAATAATTCAAATAAAAGATAAGTACGATTTTTAAAAACAAAAAGAAACTAAAAAAATATGAGATAGAAATAGAAATAAGTTGGCAGTTTATCCTACGAAAAGTTTTTTAAAAACTATATTAAAGATTTTTAACGACTGAGTTATATTAATATAATGAAATTAAAATTAGGATTTGTAATCTATAGAAGAATACTTTAATATACTTTTTCTTGTCACTTGTTGAACAAAGAGAACAGACTTTTTAAATAGCTGATCAAGCATACTTTTAAATCAATTTGTAAGAATAATTTTCAGTTGCAAGTACAAATCATTTTGCATTTAGTTTTTCGTGTTTAAAAATTAAGCTTGAAAATAAAATCCTAATCCCAGTAATTAAAGTCTTAACCCTAATTTTAAAACTAAAAATAAAATTTTAAATATTAATCGAGTAGTGAAAATCAGAAATCTTTCATGGCATTTATACTTCCTTACAAAAACAACATAATCCATGGTATTTTACTTCCTAGTTCTTACAAATTTCTTTTTCAAAGGTTTTTATACGTTAAAATGGTTCAATTATATCTATATAAAGTTTTCAATTTAATCCCATACTTTACGATATACTACTAAAAAATTGGCGAACATTTAGAAAAGAAAAAACTAAACCAAAAAAATAAACTTGAAATCTCTACCAATTTTTTAAGAAATTAGAAGAAAAAAAAAAAAAAAAAACTCTCCCCCCGGATTAGCCCTTCCACTAAATTTCCACTTATTCACTATCTATTTTTCAACAAAAAAAATTATCATCAAATCAATGATTTAACATTCTCCAGCAGCCCACACTAGGTTGAAAACTATTAAAACATTTTATTTTAAAATTTTCAAAAAAAAAAAATAATTTTTTTTCTAGAAAAAAAAAAAAACCCCAAAATTAACCTATATTTTATATTCTATTTTTGTACTTCCGTCCATGAAAATTAAGGGGAGAGAGAGAGAGAGAGAGAGAGCGTACCAAAATATCCGGAGCCGAAGTGGAATGGACGACCCCTTGTCTAGAGTTGGTTGCTGGACTCTTCTCCTTGATCCGGTTCTCATATTTCCTTCGTTCTCCTTTCAATAAGGATTGTGGCGTTTCACCTCCCAGAACCTCCTGAGCATTCGCACAAGCAGCGGCAGTGTGCTCACCTACCTGTTTCATCAGCCCAATAGCATCGTAGCTTCTATCCCCTGGGCTCATAAAGAATCCAACTTCCTGCAAACAAGCTCAAAATCATGAGAACAGAAGAGGCCCTAAAAAACGAATCAAAATAATTGTATAGACAATAATGAGATACCTCCATTGCTACATCACTGTCCATTCTTGAACCAAATAGAAAAGAGTTTATGAACCATGGCGACTTCCATGCCGAAGGAGATTCGATGCTTCTCTTGAATGGAGTTCCACCGAATCTAGAAACAAATGTCGTCAACTGAGAGGGTGTGTGGAATAATACTCGACGAAAATAATAGGCCTATTACACAACTCAAAGGGAATGAATGGTACGGTGAAATCCCAACTTCAAACGCCCTAGATAAAAAGATTTCAACTTACGTTTGATAACCATTTTGTTTACCTTACTTGAAAATATATTTGAATTTTAATATAAATTTTTAAAACAAAAATCAAGTTTTTGAAAACAACTTTTCTAAACCCCATTTGATGATAATGGTGGATTTTTGTTGTTTTCATCTTTAGGAAACATTTGAATTCTCGACCAAATTCAAAAAACAAATCAACTTTTTTGTAACTTAAGCTTGCATTTTGAAAACATTTGTAAAAAAGTACATAACAAAAACTTAGGTGATAAAGCAAGAAAACTACATGTGCAATAGGGTTTAATAAGGTCAGTTTTTAAAAACAGAAAATCAAAAACAAAATAACTACCAAATCCAGCAATTATTTTTCAAAACTGTTGTGAAAATCAGAGTTGAAAACTGTGTTGTGTGTAAGGATTCTTTCCCAACTATAAACTAATAAACTGAGGGGCTGGAAAAGTAAATCTTACAAGGTTTCAATGGAGGTCTCCTTTGAGGCATCATCACCAATAATTTCAGGGGGAGCTGTTGGAGGATGGCTTCCATGACTCGTTTCATTGGCAATAGAACAGTTTGCACGTGTGCACTGATCGTCGGATAATTTTGAAGGGAAGTCCAGATCTTGTAAAGCTGTTGAGGTTCTACACTGACTTTCAGAAATTTCTTCACTTGAACCCCTGTTAGTATCTGCTCTAACACCATCATGATCCGTAGAATACAAGAGCGAATCATTCATGTCACATTCAATAAGGATGCGTGAAGGCGGTTGGACCTGTGTATGGAAAAAATATGAAGGTGACTCTCATGATCATTTTATGAGTCGATTGAAAACAATTTTAGAATAATACAAAGAAAAAACTCACTGTTTGGCCGACAGAATCAACGCCCTCGGTTTTCACAGCATCATCCAGTTCTTGCCTTTTGTTCTCCAGGAAACTGCAGCTATCTAAATTTCTCTCTGGACATTTGCTAAGCAAAATATTACTACCATCGCTTTGCTTCTCTTGCCTCCCTTCTTCTACAGGAATAATATTTTCCTTATCTTCAGAGTCTCTAGAATTACTTGTCGGGTGTGATGTTCTACTAATGCCAATATCAATCTCTTGCTTCTTGTCACGTTGTTTCTCTGAAAGAGGAGAAAAGAATTCCCTATGGCGTTTCTTCAAAATTGATGGTGTATTAGTGAAAGTTTTAGCAGCACTTTTCAGCACAGCATCAGGACTATCATCACGGGAAGGCGAGTTCCATAGCCTAAATGGAGTAAGACAGTTCATAGAGGACATCATAAGTTGACGGATACCGAGTGGACTATATTCTTGCTGCATATCACTGGTGGATGGTGCAGCAAGATCACAGCTGAGGAATGGAACATCCAAGCTTGGAAACCGAGGAGGCTCGTAACAAAGAGCTCCAACGTCCTGTTGATCTGATTGTGTATTCTCTCTTTCTCTAAAAGAAGGAAAACTTTGTGCAGTTTTGGGTTCTGAACTGAAAGTATTTACAGGAACCAGCTTCGATGGATCATTTGAACCCTGCTGCTTTTGGAGGTCTGCATCCTTTGTACCGTCCTCGGGGGGAGATTCCGCGGATTCATTGGTGTAGATAAAGCCATCATGTTCATTAGCTACAAGCTCTCGTTCGAGGGTTGCAAATAAATGACTGGCTTCACTAGTATATACATAAGTATCATCATTAGCAGAAACCAAGAGAGGAGCTAGAAAAGGTTGAGAACTTGAGTTATCCAGAACATCAGTTCTTGAATGATGATACGATTGCATCGATAAGTTTCTCCGACTTTCTTGCATTTCTATGCTTAATGATTGACAGTGCAAAGGATGTGTATATCCACTCAGTTCAACCATATTTGAGGCATCCGATGTATTTTCAGAAGGAAAAGATTCATTGTTTATTCCATCTGAAAAAAGAACCCTGCAGCATTCATAATCGGATATCAGCATTTGTTCTGATTTATCTGAACCCCTAGCCATATTCTCGACGGTAGAGGCATTCAATCCTGCAGAAGTTTGATGTGGAACATTCTCTACTTCCTGAGATCCAATTGCTTGAGACTGTGACAACTCCCGACCTAATTCCAGAGAAGAAATATTTGGTAACTCGTACAAATTATATCGGTTATCCTCAGTTGAAGAAGTTCTGCAATCCTGTGAGAAATTTTGGTCAGGAGGTTTCACATAGCAATCCAATTCACCGAACATTTCAGGAATCGAAAAAGTGATGTTATCCAAAGAAGCATTATATTGCTCCGGACAATGTGGTGTTGAGATTGGTTCCTCTTTTAAAAAAGCAGCTTCACCCAACTGGCCTTCCTCTTCTGTGCGTGGAACAGTAGTGGAGCAAGCAACAATAGCTGAAGTTTGACTGACTTCAGATATGTCCTCTGTTTCTGTCCCTCTGAGACTGCTATCATCTATACTGCTCTGCACCCTTGAAGATGAATGCTTGGGTAGGCTTGATTGCAATGTACAATGCAGGGGTTGGTACTGTTCGAGTAAACCGGATGCCAAGTAAGAATCCAATTTCTTTTTCACAGAACTGTTCCAGTGGTTCTTTATAGCATTGTCTGTCCTGTTTACATCAAATATATACATCAATCTGATGAGTATCTTAGCAATGCTGAAGATAAATTCAAAATAATGACACTCTGTAAGGGATAGTGCACTGAAGCAAGCTATTAAATCCATGAACGTGAAGAACATAGGGAACTACAAGCAACATTAGAGTAATAATTCATAACGCAGGAGTGCTCTTTTTGAAGTAAATATACTGATAATCTAAGCATCTGTTTGCTTACCTGCCAGGCAAGAACTTTGTCAGCTCTGCCCATCTATTTCCATATATTTGATGAGCACGAATAAGTGCTATCTCCTCTTCTTGTGTCCATGCCTCCTTGTTTATGGCAGGATTTAGGTGATTGTGCCACCTGATTAATTCAAAAATTTTATGTGAAATAATTTCACCAAAACAAAATGCATGGACAAAGTCAAGCAATAAATGGCCACCAAACTCAATAAATTATTATATTTGAAAAACTAGACCTTTAGAGTTTA